AGACATTTCACTTCTCATCCAAGAAGCTTCTTCAGCTCTGACTGGATGGTGAGGAATGGAAGGATTTATACTCCTTGAAGACAGCTGGTCATTTGCATTCTTTTAGTGGGTTGTTAAGGTCCCCTGGAGGTTTATCTGTGTCAACAGTCCTTTCAACAGTTCCAAGAAGGCTCCACACCCATTTGAACTGCTCAGGTGACCTTGAGGACACAGATAAACCTCCGGGTGACCTTAATGTCCCACTAAAAGAATGCAAATGTCCAGCTGTTTGCAAGGAGTATAAATCCTTCCATTCCCCACCACCCAGTCAGAACTTGGATGAGAAGTGAAACATCTTTAAAGAAAAACCAGAAAGTCCAGTTGCCTGTTGAGGAAAAAAAAAGCTTCTTTGGAAGTAATTCCATAGATTAAAAGTAAAATAGTGCCTTGGATGATCTTAGTAAAGTTCTTGCAGAACCTTGAATTCTCCAATAAATGGTTAGAACCAGCAGGGTTACCATAGCTGCTTGCAAAAATCTGAACATCCATTAGAGAGCAGAATTAATGTTTTCCATGTTTCCTTTTTGCTATCCAGCATATGTTTGAATTACTGCATTAAAACACATTAAATACTTTTTAAAACAGGCTCATAAACAAAACAGAAAAACAGACTTCTGTTTCACAGAGGAAGAAACTGCAGGAAACTGAAGGACTTATTTAGGCACAGATTACTTCAGTGCACCTTCTGTTGGCTGAAAAGATTCTATTTGAACTGTGAATAATAACTTGTAAGAAGCTTTTTCTTTCTTTAATCTGGGATGAATTAATACCTGTAGTGTGGAGAATGGTTTTCTCCTTTTATTTCTGGCCTTAGAAAAGTATATAGATTTTAAAAGATGAAGTCCCAAGATAGAGTAATTAGGACGATGGTGCTTGTTAGCCATTAATGTTGTGCAAAATTCACAATTATGGGGATGGTACATTTCAATGTTCCTATAGGAGATGACCAGACTGAGCCTGAATGAGGGGTCAAGTGTATCATCAGCCTTGAGTCACCTTGTGCCCACAAAACATGAAGCCCAATTTTAAATCTAGCCCTGCTTGACTTCTGTTGATTTTTATCGACCACCAATTCTCTTTGACCATTAGTAGTTCAGATTCTTATAGAGAGTATTAACATAAACCCATATTCATTTGAATTGCCTGGGCTCCTAATTTCCTGCTAAGGCAGAGTTTCTCAGCCGTAGCAACTTTAGAGGTTGTGGGCTTTAACTCTCAGAATTTCCTGCGAACATGCATTTGAAAAACACTGCTTTAGAGCATTCGCTTTTGAGGTTGGAACATGGCTGTAGTACTGAGGAATTCTTCCTTTTCCTGGAAATTTTAATTCCAGAAAACTACCAAGTTAGCTCCAGAATGGCTAGATTGATGTACTCCAGAAGAGAACCAGAATGTTTTGCAGAATATCAGAATGTTTCATTCCCAATATGGGGATTCTTGCAAGTACAGCTTGGTTTTTGAGAGACGTGGTAAGACTGCTTGGGAGCCAACTTGGTATAGTTAGTGGTTAAAGCATCAGGCTAGAAACCAGGAGACTGTGAATTCTAGTCCTGCCTTAGGCACAAGCCAACTGGGTGACTCGGAGGAATGACAAGACAAGACAAGACCATTTGAGATTTAGGTAAAGGCTTGTATTACATGCTAGGCTAAAGTCATATAATATTAGCTAGTCTAGTCAACATGTTGTGGGAATCGAGTCATTGCCATCACTGTTTTGTAAGCACGGCCATCATGTTAAATTGTCACATATTTTACTTTTTGAGTCACGAAATGTATTATAGCTACTACATCAGTGGCATTTTGTCAACCCAAATGGATATATTGTGCTATGTAAAAACTGTTTTTAAAGTCCTCCAGGGACTGTTATCTGTCTAAGAGCTTCTCAGTCCCTCCTGAAGAAGCCCTTTCTGGGAAATTGGCTGGCTCTGCTTGGCTTCATTTCAAAACCTCCAAGGACACAATTGTTGGGGAAATAAGTTGGCTTATATGGGGATTCTATTTGGGTCTTACAGGCTGTCTTTGCGGCTTGATTGAAAGTCTGCAGATATCTAGTACAAGAAAATCCTATAGGTTGTATCTTGTGTTGATATTGTTTTTCATTTTGGAGTCATTTGTTAATTTGGAAAGGCTAAGCTTTAAGGAGTCATCTCTGCCTCTGTTAAAGGGCTTATTGTTGAAATTTAGCTTTAGGTGCATATAAAAAGCCAACCCCAACCCTATCTTTTCTTTCACACGTTGTTTCTAACAACCTTCACATTTACAAATACAGTTGTATCAGCCATCCCATCCACTGGGCTAACCTTTCCATGGGCTACTCCAATTCCCATCAGCCCATCAGCCTGATTGGTCTGTAGCGCGGGAAGTTGCATCTTCAAATTCAACAATATTTGCATGATACAGATCCACGCTTCTGGGCTGTCCCTTCTATAATTTTATTGAACTGCAGCTAAAAATAAGGCTATAGAAATGTGATTTTAGAGTGAATATGTTTTCTCCAATATTTATTTATTTATTTATTTAGTGTATAGCATACAATCTCAGGGAAATCTATACATGCTGGACACAATGCAGTCCTGACAGCCCAGATTGCTAGTTTATTCTGTTCGGAACTTGTGCGCTTATCTTGGGTGCATTGTGGGGGTTGAGCTAGTTTTATACCTATTAATCAGTGGTGCTCAGGTTGCTGGTTCTTCCAGATTCCTCCACCCATCTCACCTTGCTCACTTCAGAATGCCTTGCATCTGGTCAGATCCAACGCCATCTTCTGCTCTCCACACACACAAACACAACTAGGTTTTTCCCCCAACAAAGTGGTACCCATTTATCTACTTGCAACATTGCATGCTTTCAAACTGCGGGGCAGGCAGGAGCCAGAGATTGAGTGACAGGAGCTCACTCCATGTCACAGAGCCGGGCTCAAACTTCTGGATGCAGACCATTTCTGGCCAGCAGTTCCAGTATCATAAAGCCTCTGTGCCACCAACGTCCCCTTTTCTCCAATAAACTCCCCCCCCACACTCAGTATTTTCCTCTGAAGCAGTGTTTCTCAACCTTAGCAGATTTAGGATGAGTTGAATTTTCCAGCCAGCAAGGGTGGCTGGGGAATTCTGGGAGCTGAAGTCCATTTATCTTAAAATTGCTAAGGTTAAGAAACACTGCTTTGTGGGTTTGGGGGATGGGTGGGTATGCATTCTCTCTGGAAACATACTTATTTCCTCCAGTATACTGATATTTTCTAAATTCAGCATTGGAAAGTGCAAAATGTTTGGAGTGCTTGATCAATCTTTTGGCCCTGTGTACTTAAAGAAATAGGCTGTATAAAATTATTTCTGGTCATTGTCCACCTCACAATGATAGCTACCTTTCTAGTTTCTTTCTCTCTCTTTGCCTCTCCCAATGAATTTTTTTTTAAGCGTATCTTTTCTTCTCAACTGGGATAGAAAACTTCCCTCAGAAACACAGTGGCCCAAAGTCCCTTTGGACAATGACATGGGCAGCATAGAAATTAAACCAATAAATAAATATGGAAGAGATCTACTATCTCGGCAAGGATCATAGGGCCTTTTTGCTCAGGTATTGACCGGTTCTCTTTGGCCCAGTGAAAACCATCTGCTTATCAAATTGGAGAGCCATTTAAGACCCATGGCAACCATCTCATGCTGTTCAGAATCTTCCGTGGATAGCAGCATTGAGGTTTGTTTATTGGACAGCAGTCTTGATCTTTGTGTGGCTTAAAGAGAACGTTGCTGGTGGCAATTTCCAATCAGTCAAAAGTCAGAAATCATAAACAAGAAACCAATTTTGCCCCAACATTTCCATTTTCTATTTTTGCCAACAAATAAACCCGGTAGGGAAGCACTGTTCATTTGATTTCTATCCCCTTTCCTATTCAGTCACCTGTTCAAAGCAGTGGGCAAAAATTCAAATGCACAGAGCAGTATGAAAGGTTTTCTAAAATAATAATAATAATAATGGTGAATTAAAAGTAGAGGGGAGCCAGTCTGGTGTTGTACTTAAGGTGCTGTCCTGGGAATCAGGAGATTGTGAGTTCTGGTCGCATCTTAGACATGCAAGCCAGCTGAGTGACTTTGGATCAGTCACTCCTGCTGACCCCAACTCATTTCAGAGGTTTCTGGGATTGGGTGTCAGCTTTGGAAGCCATATAAGAACCAGAAGCTTCCTTGCTGCCACATTCCTGTGCCTGTGAAAGTAGGAGGAAGGATATTTAGAGCATTGATAGTTAGGCATAGTAGCATTCTTCTTTTCAGTCAAGTTTATATTATTCCTGCACCTGGATGAGGAGTGGTTGGAGGGATGTCTCAAGTTGGAATGGTTGGTGATTGGACCATGGGATGGACTGATGGGTGCAGGGCAGAGGTGGGTATTCAGCAGGTTCTGACCAGTGCTGGAGAATTGGTAGCGGAAATTTTGAGTAGTTCGGAGAACCGGCAAATACCACCTTTGACTGGAGATTTTACAGTATCCTTCTCCTGCCGCGCCTACCAAGCCACACCCACAGAACCGGTAGTAAAAAAAAAAATGAATCCCACCACTGGTGCAGGGCTTGGGTTTTGACTTTTGAATTACTAAGAGAAAACCCAGAACTCTCAGATTCGGGTTTTCCCAGATGTGCCACTCTAATAAAAGGAAACTTTGAGAAAATGCCTGTCTTGGAGTTTTGAATTGGAGTTGGTTTTTTCTGGAACCCTGACACTGGGGGTGTATTTATACCTAGGTCTCCCCAGTGCTGAGATAATATCTTAAACTCTAACCATACTGGCTCTCATCTGTTTCAATTCAATTAAACAACTAATTAATCAGTGGATTGATCATATGCCATCATGCTGGTGTCAATTCTTAATGACCACATAGATTTTCTCCATGACAAATAACCCTCACTTAAAGGTGCTTTTCCAAGAGGCAACTGAACTTTCCTGTTTTTTCCTTTGAAGACGTTTCACTTCTCATCCAAGAAGCTTCTTCAGCTCTGACTGGACGGTGGGGAATGGAAGGATTTACATTCCTTGCAGACAGCTTGTCATTTGCATCCTTTGAGAGTCATTGAGGCACTTGGGGGTTTATCTGTGTCTTCAGGGTCATCTGATTGGTGCAAATGGTTCCCTGTAGTCTGCTTTTTTATCCCCTGGAAATCTGTTCATACTCCGACACCATTTGAAGGTTGTTCATCTTTGCACCTTTGCACCTTTGACTTAGATGGCTGAGAATCTCCATAGACTTATAACCCTCATTTGAATTCTAGAAAGCATGCAGAGAAGAACAACAAAGATGACTAGAGAACTGGAGATTAAAACATAAGGAATGATTGCAGGAATTGGGTATGTCTAGTTTAATGAAAAGAAAGACTAGGGTTTACATGATAGCAGTCTTCCAATATTTGAGGGACTGCCACAAAGAAGAGGGGGTCAACCTACTGTTCAAAGCATCTGAAGACAGGGCAAAAAACAATGATTGAAAATCAATTAAGGAGAAAAACAAGCTAAAGCTAAGGAGAAATTTACTGACAATGAATCGATGGAAAGGTTAATTGTTCAAAAGTTCTGGGTGCTCCATCACTTTTGTTGTTGTTAGTTGCGAAGTCATGTCCGACCCATCATGACCCCATGGACAACATTCCTCTAGGCCTTCCTGTCCTCTACCATGTTCTGGAGTCCATTTAAGCTCTAACTGCCTCAGTGACTCCATCCAGCCCCCTCATTCTCTGTCCTCCCCTTCTTCTATTGCTCTTGATCTTTCCCAGCATTAGGCTCTTCTCCAGTGAGTCCTTCCTTCTCATTAGGTGGCCAAAGTATTTGAATTTCATCTTCAGGATTTGGCCTTCTAAAGAGCAGTCAGGGTTGATCTCCTCTAGGACTGACCGGTTTGATTGCCTTGCAGTCCAAGGGACTTGCAGGAGTCTTCTCCAGCACCAGAGTTCAAAGGCCTCAATCCTTTGGCGCTCTATCACTAGAGATTTTTAAAGAGTTTGACATCCATTTGTCTGATATGGTGTAGGGCAGAGGTGGTATTCAGCAGGTTCTGACCAGTTCTGGAGAACCGGTAGTGGAAATTTTGAGTAGTTCTGAGAACCAGTGGTAACCTTCCCCCAGGAGTGTGGATGAAATGGAGATTTTACAGTATCCTTCCCCTGCCACACCCACCAAGCCATGCACGCCCACCAAGCCATGTCCACAGAACCGGTAGTAAAAAAATTTAATCCCACCTCTGGTGTAGGGTGTCAGGATTCGAGCAGTTACTCCAATTAAATCATGAGCCTCAAGTCACACTCCCAAAACTAAAAAGGATTTATTAGAAGTTAACATTCTATGTCTGGCCTTAGCCTGGGTGTAGCCAACTCTGAGATATGTAATTCACATAAGGTTTCCTGCTTGAGCTTGGGGTTGGACTAGAAGACCTCCAAAGTCCCTTCCAACACTTGTTATTCTGTTCTGGTTTGTTCTGATCTTTCAGGATTTCCAGTGAAGCATATCACCACTGTAACTGAGTTCATCCACCTGGGTGCTGGTCCTCCTCCTTCCTCCCTCCTTCTTTACACTGACTAATTAGGTCCCATCAAGTTGGTGATGACTCTTATGGATCACATCACCCTATGACCATCTGTCCTATTCTGGCCCTTCAGGTCTTTCAAATGTGCTCCTGTTTCCACTGTAACTCAATCTCTCCACTTTGTTCCTAGTCATTCTCTTCTCCTCCATCTTTTCCAGCATTAGAGCTAGTGGTGGGATTCAATTTTTTTTAGTACCAGTTCCGTGGGCTTGGTTTTGTGGGCATGGCTTGGTGGGTGTGGCAGGGGAAGGTTACTGCAAGGTCCCCATTCCCTCCCCACTCCACTAACCTGCTTTCCAGCTCCGTTCTCCTGTGCAGGACAACCAAAGAAGACCCAGCCAATCAGCTGGGACTCGGGAGGCAGAGAATAGATGGGGGCGGAGCCAGTCAGAGGTGGGATTAGCCAGTTCTCTGAACTACTGAAAAATTTCCACTGCCAGATCTCCAGAACTGGTCAGAACCTGCTGAATACCACCTCTTCAGAGAGCTGGGTCTTTATATAATATGTCTGAAGTAGGATAATTTGAACCTGATCATTTGTGCATTGAATGAAAACCCTGGGTGGATTTGAGAATAATTCCACTGCAGATTAAGGTTTTTTGAAACAGATTTCAAATTATCTTGAAGGAAAACTGCTCTCAAGAATATAGCACTTTAATAGGAACAGAAACCATGTTATCAACATAATGATATCTCAGAACTGATGCCTTATTTTAAAAAATATGCGAGCTCTGCAAATGTCTGGGCAGCTATGCATTACTGCTGACACTTAATACAGGTAGTCCTCACTTACTATTTCCAATGGGAAGGGCAACAAACTGGGTATGTCTAGTCTGATAAAAAGAAGGACTAGGGCTGACATGATAACAGTCTTAGAAGAAAATGGACCAAAAGAGGAGATGAGAGGAAGATTCCATACATGTGACTGTTCGTAGTTATGGGTGCAGATGTAAAAATGATAGTGATAATGCAGTGGTCAGCAATCCTTTTCGTCTTTATCCAACAATCACCTACAATGGCCAAATACACCACCCCTCTTCCACAAAGCTATGTATAAAAAAAAGATGTTGAGACTCTAGAACAGGGGTGGGCAAACTTTTTGGCTCGGGGGCCTCATTGACTTTTAAAATTTGACAGACGGGCCACCACCTGGTGTTGAAATGCCTGTCATTACAAGTCAAAATCAAATGAATGCAATCATTCAATCATTCACATCAAACCTTAATTCTGTACCAATCTTCGGCGGGCCGGATTAAAAAGACCAACGGGCCGGATGTGGCCCGCGGGCCGTAGTTTGCCCACCCCTGCTCTAGAAAGAGTGCAGAGAAAAGCCACAAAGATGATTAGGGGACTGGAAGCTAAAACATATAAAGAACAGTTGCTGAAATTGGGTATGTCTAGTTTGATGAAAAGAAGGACTGGGGGAGACATGAAAGCAGTGTTCCAATATCTCAGGGGCTGCCACAAAAAAAGAGGGAGCCAAGCTATTCTCCAAAGCATCTGAAGGCAGGACAAGAAGCAATGAATGGAAACTAACCAAGGAGAGAAGCAACCTAGAACTAGGGAGACATTTCCTGACAGTTAGAACAATTAATCAGTGGAACAACTTGCCTCCAGAAGTTGTAATTGCTCCAACACTGGAGGTTTAAAAGAAGAGATTGAACAACCATTTGTCTGAAGTGGTATAAGTGCTTAAACAGGGGGATGGACTAGAAGACCTCCAAGGTCCCTTCCAACTCTGTTATTCTATTCTATTCTATTCTATTCTATTCTATTCTATTCTATTCTATTCTATTCTATTCTATTCTATTCTATTCCATTCCATTCCATTCCATTCCATTCCATTCCATTCTATTCTATTCATCTATATTTCTCTATATAGTCCTTCACAAATTCTTCCCTCTGATCACGAGTGGAGAGGTAAGGAAGTATCGTTTTGCAGATTATTTTCTCGGGAAAGGGCGTTTCAGATTTGCCAACAATTTTGAAGAAGTGCAAATTTGTTCTCAGCAAAAATCAGGCCTTTCCAAAAAAAAAAGGCCTGTGTCCAAGGATCCAAAATCTTTCATGCGAGATTCTTACAGGAGAGAATAATGAAGCCATGAAAAAGAAAAAAAAAAAGAAGTAGGAAAAAGAATTTCCGACTGAACAAATTGCTGTCCATTGTAAAGGAACCGAATCGTGCTGTGCTAAGCTCTTTTATTTTCCTAAGCCATTCCCCCCCCCCATCCTGTCTCTGAACCTGCTGAAAAAGTCCGCCCGTTGTGTTTATTATTGGAATCTACAGAGGAAGCTTCCTGACGGTATGATAAAGAAGCTGCCATAATATTGCTCCCCAGACATTTGAAGTAATTTAAAATGATACTTCAAGACTATTGCTGAAACTCTGCAGCCAAAAGAGCTCAGATGTCATCTTCTATACCGGGGCAGTTTGCAACCCGAAGGACAATTCAGCTAAAAAATCAGAGTTGGTTACAAGTAGCTGTTTGAAATCTTTCTGTAGACAAGTTGACTCTTTGAATTAGCTTTGTGGCTAATTCAAAGAGGCCAGACTAGACAGCATGCATCTATGTTGTGGGCCCTTGTTCAATTCTTTGTTTAAAAAAAAACATTGCAAATGAAAATAGCTGTACTGTTTTAAGAGATTGAGATAAATAGGTAATCTTCAATTTACCACATAAATAGGACCAGAATTTCGGTCATCACTTGTTGTGGTTGAAGGTCAAAGCACTCATGTGCCCGGCCCTGATTTTTCAACCCTTTTACAGTAATTGTTAAGCAAATCATGCAGTTGTAAATCTGAATCATGTGATCAATAAGCAAATACATTCTCCTGAACTGGCAAAAAAAAAAAAAAAAAACCTCCAGAAACTGGCTACAGCCATTGCAAATCATAGATATATGGCCATGGGACACTGCAACCAGTTGTAAATACTACGTTTAGTATAATTAGCTGTAAATACTAGGTACTGGAGCAGCTTTCCCTCAGAAGTTGTGGGAGTGCCATCACTTGAGACTTTCAAGACGAGATTGGACTCCCATCTGTCATAAATAGTGTCCTGCTTGGGCAGGGGGTTGGACTAGATGACTTACAAGGTCTCTTCCAACTCTGATTATCTGTTATCTGGTTGCCAAGCACCTGAAATCCAGTCATGTGACTACAGCACGGCATTTTACAATGACCGCTTGATATGCCATAAAGCTTCCTTTCTGAGGCCATTAAAGCTTCAAAGGTCATTAAGTGTTCAAATAGTTGTAAGTCAAGAGCTACCCGTAGATATAATGTAGTCATGGGATTGGTTTTATTCTTTTTTTGAGTTGTTAATGTTGTTTAGTTATCCTATTTCGTTTTGTTTCTTGAGAGCTGGTCCTTTTATGTTTTCCTTTTGCCTCCTTTTAGAGAGATTAGCATGATTTTTCCCCCAATTGCTTTGTTTCTCTGAGGTTCTTTATTTATTAAACTGACAGACTTTTATACAATACTAGCTCGATACCCGTGCTTCACTACGAAACTATGTGGTCGGGCTTAGTTTCACAGTTACAACCTTTGTAGCATCCTCAAGATTCTGTGATCAATATTCAGATGCTTGGCAACTGGTTCATACTTAGCAATAACAATGGTACTTAGACTTATTTACTGCTTTCACAGTGCTTTACAGCCCACTCTAAGCAGTTTACAGAGTCAGCCTATTGTCCCCAACAATTTTGGGTCCTCATTTTACCCACCTTGGAAGAATGGAAGGCTGAGTCAACCTTGAGCCTGGTGAGATTCGAACTGCTGAACTGCAGGCAGCTGGCAGTCAGCAGAAGAAGCCTGCAGTGCTGCACTCTAACTACTGCATCACCGTGGCTCATACTTATGACCACTGCTGTGTCCCAAGGTCATGCAATCCTCTTTTGCAACCTTTTGACAAGCAAAGTCAGTTGGGAAGCCAGATTTACTTCCCAACTGAATTGCTAACATAGGAACTGCAATGGTTCACTTAATAACTGTGGCAAGAAAGGTTGTAAAATGGGAAAAAAATAACTTAACAGATGTCTCACTTAAGAACAGAAATGTTGGGCTCAATTGTAATCATACATTGAGGACTACCCGTACTATATTTCAAAAACATAATTTAAAAAGGCAAAAGAAAAAAGAAAAGAAAGAAGATATGTTAAGTGGATGTTTCTTTTCCTCAATTTCAGGGAAAAGGTGAAAATTGTCCAGCAATTTCTCAAAAAAGAATCTCCCTCCAGGAAGTGAGTTCAGTATTGCTATTGAAAAGGTTTTGCCTCCTGACAAATCTCTGGGAATTCAGTGGAAATATAGGAAGCCAGGCAGTCTGTTTGCAGATCCCCTGAGAGTGAAAGACTCAACTTTCATACAAATCTCTTGGCCCTTTCAAACTAAGGCTAGAAAGACAACACTGCCTTCATTTCCATTTCTAAGAATTCCTTTGAATGTCTCTTCTCCTTTGAAGGAAATGCCAAAGTCTTAATCTTCTTCAGGAATGGAATGAGAAACCTTTGTACCTGGATGGGACAGTGAACTTGTGAGACATCCTCACACGGTTTTGTGTTGATATTGTTTCCATTTCTGTTTAGACAATAGCAAGGGTCAACAGCATAGCATTTCTTATAGCCCAGAATGATGACTGTAAGGTAAAGATAAAGGTAAAGGTTCCCTTCATACATACGTGCTAGTCGTTTCCATCTCTAGGGGTGGTGCTTATCTCGGTTTCAAAGGAGAAGAACCAGCGCTGTCCGAAGATGTCTCCGTGGTCATGTAGCCAGCATGACTAAACACCGAAGGTGCACAGAATGCTGTTACCTTCCCACTAAAGTGGTCCCTACTTTTCTACTTGCATTTTTATATGCTTTTGAACAGCTAGGTTGGCAGAAGCTAAGATAAGTAATGAGAGCTCACTCCGTTATGTGGTGCTAGGGATTTGAACCGCTGACCTTTTTGATCAACAAGCTCAGCATCTTAGCCACTGAGCCACCATGTTAATGATGACTGTGGCCCTTTCCAAACTGACCTTAAATGAAAGTAGTCCTCGATTTACACTATAACCAAACCAGCAAACTGTTTGAAGTTACAATGGCACTGAATGGTGGTCTTTGGAATTCCCTTCTCGACTAGTGCTTCTCACGTACCCTCACTTAATGAACGCATCACTTAGCAAATTCTGGTCTCAATTGCCATTGTAAGTTGAGGACTACCTATGTGTAGTTTGTGCCTCCATAGGTGATCTCAGAAGCTTAGTGGGCCAAGACCTCATTAGTTTTGGGATGGGGATCATGTAAGATTATAGGACTGATTGACCAGAGTGGTAAATAATAAAGATCATAAAAATCTTAAAAGAAAAGAAGCCAGCCATTTCCACTACACTGTCACCAAGTGTCAAACACAAGGGTGCCTTTCCGTAATTTATGTGAAATTGCTAAGTTATTAAATGCTACATTTTTGAGTGATTTTGCAATTGCATAAAGGAGCTGAGCACTGAAAGCTCATTGATGAGCTTTGATGAGAATAGAATAGAGTAAAATAGAAAATAGAAAATAGAAAATAACAGAAAATAGAAAATAGAAAATAACAGAAAATAGAAAATAGAAAATAGAAAATAGAATAGAATAGAATAGCAGAATTGGAAGGGACCTTGGTGGTCTTCTAGTCCAGCCCCCTGCTTAGGCAGGAAACCCTACACCACTTCAGACAAATTGGTTATCCAAGCTCTTCTTAAAATCTTCCAGTGATGGAGCAACCACAACTTCAGGAGGCAAATTGTTCCACTGATTAGTTGCTCTCAGTGTCAAGAAATTTCTCCTTACTTCTAGGTTGCTTCTCTCCTTGATTAGTTTCCACCCATTGTTTCTTACCCTGCCTTCATGTGCTTTGGAGAATAGCTTGACTCCCTCTTTTTTTGTGGCAGCCCCTGAGATATTGGAACACTGCTTTCATGTCTCCCCCAGTCCTTCTTTTCATTAAACTAGACATACCCAATTTCAGCAACTGTTCTTTATATGTTTTAGCTTCCAGTCCCCTAATCATCTTTGTGGCTTTTCTCTGCACTCTTTCTAGAGTCTCAACATCTTTTTTTTATACATAGCTTTGTGGAAGAGGGGTGGTGTATTTGGCCATTGTAGGTGATCGTTGGATAAAGACGAAAAGGATTGCTGACCACTGCATTATCACTATCATTTTTACATCTGCACCCATAACTACCAACAGTCACATGTATGGAATCTTCCTCTCATCTCCTCTTTTGGTCCATTTTCTTCTATTGAGGGCATTTGAAAATGACATCCCAGATCAACCAGAAGAAAAGGATTGATTTCTCTCACAGATCTCATAGGCACATAAGATATCTTGAAATCGTATTTATACAAGCATATCTTAGCTTCATTCACAGTCTGCTTACAAATTGCCTTCTTTAAGCACTATCGTCTTTGCTTTACAACACCCAGGACTTAAAACAAGCTAAATCTGCATTTTAATTACTATTTTTCTTATGATGTCCCTTGTCATTCTTTTTCATAATGGATTCCTTCTGTTTGCCAGTAGATATTATTTCATATTCTTTAGTACCTTTCAGCCTTGCCCATCAAAGGGAATGTGGAATCCCACAGAAACCACTTCTCTAAGGATCCCTTTTAAATCTTCTGGGCTACATTTACTCTGACTTAGAAATGCATCTACAGGACTGAATTTCGCATAAAATGCTATGCTGTCCTATTGAAAAGTGAGCTTGGTTGGGTTCACTTATAGTGTCAAGCCGTGGCTTTTACAAATGTGGTTTACGAAATACATTTAAATTGGATGCTTTCGTACAGCCTGTTAAACTGTAAATTCTGGTTCTCACTCACCATGTTAAACTAACCCAAAATAAACTCTTTATTATGGCTTAATGTGATAGCCCCCAGACAGTGTTTTCTCATAAAATATATATTCAGTTTTAAAGCCACTCTCCAGTTACAATCTCTGCATGTCACCTTGAAAATTCGTCCCTTTGAATTCCTGGAACCGTATCTCAAAATACCTCCATATGGAATTGAAGTCTACAACTCCTGCTTTCCTCTCTCTTTTTCTTTAGTCTTTAGCTCACCATTTTCTCATGCCAGCTGGGGAATTCTGGGAGTTCGAGACCACATATCTTAAAGTTGCCAAGGTTGAGAAACACTGCTCTAACCTGATAAAAACCTCCGGAGATGTTGAAATTTTGTTCACGTAGTCACATTTGGATCCATCCCATAAAGCTAATATGTGTTTTGCTTTTTCTCATGGATTAATCCTGCATCCCATGCTTTTTTTAAAAAAAAAATCATGCCAATGTTTATAGTAGGATTTCCAGCTACCAATCATAGACACCATTATTCCGTCAGCCATCTTATTTCCTCCTATCATTTGTGTGTGTGTGTATCACCTATCTTTTTACATTAAAAAATCTTCACACGTTATTGGAAAGATGAAGGGATAATCAAGAAGATACTAGACTGTGCAGAAATGGATAGACTTACATTGAAAATTAAACAGAAAGAAGACACAGGATATTATCAAACATGGAACTTATTTTACCAGTGGTTGGAAGAAAAGGGGTAGAGAGTAAAAATGGAATTTGTATTGTTAAGCAAATTAAGTACCCAGACAATATGATGTTTATTATGCACTAAGAAATATAATTAATAGAAAATTAATAAAATTTCTTTTTTTAAAAATCATTTTAATTTTTAAAAATTGGGATGCTTGTCTAGGAATGCAAGATACTGGCTTTTAGTCCTGTCTTTATAGTTTTGAAACTCCAGCAGATCCCTTAAGGCTGTTCTTGGAAATAAAATGATGGACGGGCAGCTACAATCTGTTATGGTGTTTGGAATTCCTCTTGTCTTTGTTTGGAAAGACATAGATCCAGATGAGGAGAAAAAAATAAACTGGAAGAGAACAACCATGCAAATCAGTGTTTGTTGCTACTTTGCTCCCTTGTGGCTGCCATGAAGAAGTTCACATGGTAGGCAATTTGTGAGAAGATCCACAGCCTCTCTCAAAATTCCAAGTAAGCTCTCCACCCCTGTGAAATGAATCAAAAGTCTAAAATCTGGGACTGAGGAGATGACAATACAGCAGGGGTGTCAAACTCGATGTCACTGAAACATCAGGGCTGTATTTGACCTCGGTGGGGTCAGGGTGGGCGTGGCCAGCTCAACATCACTTGTGTCAAGGATGCCTGTGGTGGCCTGAGCCTCCTGACAGAGAAAACAGGCTTCTGAGCTCCATTTTCTGCTGCGGCAGCTTCCTGCAATCCTTTGCCAGTGAAAAGAAAGCTCAGGGGGCCCGTGTACGGCTCTCCCAAACTCTGTTTTCAGAGTTGGCAGAGGTACCGTGGGCCTTCTCTGTTTCCAGTGTGGCCCTGAGGGCCTGATCTAAGCACCCCATGGACCGGATCCAGCCCGTGGGACTTGAGTTTGACACCCCTGCAATACAGGGACAAACCTACTCCTTGTAGACAGTGAAATAAGATATATAATTGTAACTACAGCTACCTTGATTTCATTTAAGGAAAAGCATTTCTGATGGTAGCAGTGGTGAAATAGTCTACTGATGGTCTACTGATAGTCTACTGATAGTCTACTGATGATAGTCTACTGATCTTCATCACTGTAGGGTTTTTTTTGTCTTAATTTGTGTGAAGGTCCACAGCAAAAAAAAAACTGGACTCCAAGTTAATTTGTTTTACTGCACATTGCAGAGGGCTTGATTAGATGATGCATGCAGTCTCTT